TCGCGCCCCTCGCGCCCCCCACGGAGAAACCCCCCCCTCGGGGGGCCCCTGCCGCAGGAAGGGCCCTGCCCCGCGGCTGAGCCGGGCTCTGCGCCGCTGCTGGATCCGGCATGGCCTCCCCGGGCAGGGGGATGGGACCCCCACACGGGGGGGTCCTGTGGGAGCTGCCCTGGCTTTTGGCCCCCCACCCAGTGCGTCCCACGGGGGTCCCCGTGCTGGTGGGCGCACCCCAAACCCTGCGGGGAAAAGAACAACAGGAGACGCCGACAGCGGTGGGGAGCAGATGGGAAGGAAAACGGGGCAGGGAAAATGGGGCAGGGTCCCCCCGTCACCCCACAAAACCCAGGAGGATGGAAGACAGGCAGCAGCCCGACCCTCCTCCCACGGAGACGCAGCATCAGGTCGGATGCGGGATTCAGCACCCGCTGCGGAGAAGCAAACCCTGAAGACATCTTCGCTCATCGTTAAATAAACTTTAATTATTTTTGCATGAGGAGGGGTGAAACGAAAATAAAATTTCTTCCGAGGATTAAAAGCAGCAGGCGGGGAGGAGCAGCCCGGCTCTTCTCTCCCCTCTCTTCCCGGAGGCCACGGTGATGGGTGGGCTCTCCGAGCGGGAGATGCTCGGCCACCCCGGCGCCCGCGGTCCCCCCGGGGCACGCAAGGTCCCTAAAGGCACAAGTGTCACTTCGCCCCCTCCCCGCGCGGCTGCCGTCACCTCCCCGGAGCGGGCCAGCTTGTGCAAAACCCCCACGTAAAAAAATACCGTTTTTTTCAGTATCGAACATCCTAAAAAACTAGAGCTTTAATCAATGTCAGTTATCCACACCCTTGATTGGAAATCCTGATTTACACCCTGGAAAGCCGCCGCGTTTCCACCGGGAGGGGATGTCCCAGGTTGGCACCAGGAGGGCGACCGGGAGCATCCCCCAGCAGCAGCGGGTTAGTGTGAGTGGGGGACGCACTCCTTCAGGCCCCCTCGCTCGGCCTTGGGTGGGCAGCGGGTCCCTCCGTGGGGCAGGAGCACCCACACCGCATCGCCCAGCACCACCGGCTCCCTGGCCCTGGGGAAGGGCGGGCGCAGGATCAGCTCCCAGGCAGGGGGTCCCTTCCCCTCGGCGCTAGTCCGGCTGGCCGGGAGGCCAAGGGCAGGGTCGAGGTCGGTCCTCGGATGCTAAAGGCTTGGTTCCACGTTGGCCTCCGCCTCCAGCTTTCGCTGGTACCTCTGCCGGCGCTCGCAGCGGGGGCACGACTTGGCGCGGGCTTGGCAGTCCCGGTGGAAGACGGTTTTGCATTCACTGCACCTAGGAGAAACCAAGGGGGAAAAAAACCCACAAATACCCCACCCTGTTGGTAACGTCAGAGCAAAGACTGAACTTCTCCCCACCAAACCAGACCTGGGGACACCACCTCATCTCTGTTTCCTGCAAGCGCTTGCTGAGCAAAGAGCCCTGGCCCCAGCGAGAGCCAGCTCTAGCTCAAGACGAACCTTGCTAGCAGGAGCAGTAACTACTTGAGCAAAAGATCCACCTCCAGCAGGCTCAGAGCAAAAGCAGCAGCTCGCCCGGAAAGAGCATTGCGGGCAGCTGCCAGCACGCTGCCGGTTTTTTGCAGATGAAAGAGGGAGATGTTGAGTGAGGTTTGTACCTCGCTCTCGGAGCGCTGACAGCACAAGAGCAACATTTCAAGGCTGAGACACCAAACCCTGCGACGGCGCAGGGCGGCGAGAGCCCGGCTGGGGATGCGTGGCCGGCGGGGCCGGGACGCAGCTCGGTGCCAGAGCACGGACCCTCCGCTCGCCAGGGTGCAGCCAGGATACCCCCAACCCCAACTGGGGGACCTGCACAGGCAGGGACACTGCTTGGGGACATCGGAGCCGCAGGCAAGGGGACGGGCAGCTGGGGATGGCGTTGCCTTTGAGCCGGCCAGCTCCGGGGAGGTCTTGACAGCTCCTGCCCGGGACCTCCCTGCTCTGGCTCA